CCCCTTTAATCCCAGCACTCAGGAGGCGGAGGCAGAGGCAGGTAGATCTCTGTGAGTGTGAAGCCAGCCTGGCCTACATACAGAGTTCCAGGACAACCAAAGCTACGCAGAGAAAGCCTGTCTTGAAAAACAAACAAAAGGAAACAAAGACAAAAATCAGGGCTGGCAAGATAGATCAGCAAGTACAGGTAAACCTGACAACCAGAGTTCAGCCTCTGGGACCTTACACAGGCATCCTGCAAACTGTCCTCTGTCCTCTCCACATGCGCACGCGTGCGCGCGCGCGCGCGCGCAATCACACACACACACACACACACACACACACACACACAAACACAACTGTAAACAAATGCAAAGCCAAAGGAAGCAGGGACAACAGGCGAAACTTGAGGTCTAAAGGAGACAGATGAATCCAGAGCCCTAGCTCCAGACTCCTCTCAGATGTAAAACCTCGAGCATTGGCTCCCGTCAGTACCTTTTCATTGTGGACACTCAGAAGCCTCTGGGTCAAGGTCAGGCAGAGTGTCCATTTCCTGTGGGTCAGTCAACCCTCAGAAGCCCCCAGGTCACGATACGAGAACTACCCTGCTGGATATTTCTAAACCTGGCAGGCACTGCCAGTCTTCCCTTGTTTTCCCCTGGACCAGTGCTAAACAGGATTCTCCACCGGAAGGCAGGAGGCACAAGGGAAACTGGGGAAGAGAGCTGTCAGCAGGTACCTGCATTATCCAGAATGGAAACAGAAAGACCAGTGACTCCTGCTGAACCATCTCTCAGTCACACACCCACTCACCCCAAGGCGGGGTCCCCTAGAGCACCTCCACACCCCGGGGTAGTGGTGACAGACTACCCTACTTCCGCTCACTGGTGCCTCCCTTTGCCCACCCCACCCTCTGCATCCTGCACGGCAGCTGTGTGCTCGGGAGCTGCCAGCCTCCTGTCAGATCAAAGCCTTGGAGGATGCCATTAGAACTGTCCAGTCCAGTTAGAAGTGAAGGTCATGGATCTAGTGCAGACCGAGGAGGTAGAGAGCAGAGGGACCTCCCACGCATGCAGAGACACAGGCGTGTGCACCCAGATACACCCTCCCCTGAGGCAAACAGACACACCCAGGACAACCAGCTGACTCTTCCCTCACAGCCCAGACAGAAGCACCAGCTGTGGGCCTGGGATATCCCCAGCAGCCCCTACCCGCGTCAGCCTGCCCTTCTGCTCAATCCCTCGCTCTCCCTGGAGGTCGGGCCTCCAGAGCTTCCTGGAGGGTTGAGCTGCTGTGCCACATATTGCTTCCCACTTGGGACACCCCTCTACGCCCCCTGCAAGATGTCACCAGCCTGCCCTTCCTGTCACTCCCCCTGGAGGTCAAGCCTCCTGAGCTTTCCTGGAGGGCTGAGCTGGCCCATATGGCTGGGGATACATTGCCAGCACCAGTAAGTACCCATGAGGCCCGGCAGCCCGCAGTGACAGCTTTCCTCTCGCCCAGTCAGACCTTTCTCTTGCCACTGGGATACATGGCAGCATCCAGAGCCGCACAGATGTCAAGGATGGCCTCATCATTACAGCCTCATAGCCAGGGTAGCCTTTGCCAACCTGGCCTATATAGGTAATGCCAGGATACAGAGAAGGAAACCTCAGAAACGAGGAGAGAATCTGGGTTCAAGTCTCCCAGCATGCCTACAATTCACACCTTTCTATGTGGAAAGAATGTTAGGATCCCAGCCAGCCAGGTGGGCTGAGGCCAGGCTGGCCCGGTGTGTCTTAGCTAACCTATTTATCAGCCCTTGGAGACACTTGTCTGAGGATCTGTATGGCCAGGAAAGGGAAAGTCAGCTCTGGTGACACAGATCACGTTTAAAGCCACAGGGAGGGAAACCCAAAGGACATCAAGCCCTGCACCGAACCCATGGTGGAAAGGCACTGTCTTAGAGCAAAGGGACGGTGACTGCAGCACACCTAGCAGCCAGCCTGACTCCAAGATGGCATTCTCTCTCAATATACAGGACATGAACCCACTGAGATCATGGGACACGGGAGAGAGAGGAGACGCAGGCGCATGGGGAGCTCAGCATGTTCCAGGCATCCTGGGGATCCTTTCTTGGTCACCCCATTCACTGGTTAAGTCACGCTAACTCTTCCCCCGGGCACACACAGAGCCTGCTCTCTTCTCAGCCTTGCCACCTTCTCCTCATCTCAGCCATCTTCCTCCTCTGGTGGCCGAAGCCACTGCTCCCCTGACTCCTGGTGTCTCCACTTGCTGCTCCCGTGATGCGCTTTCCCTAGGACACCCTCTTTTGCTGTCTTTTAAAGCAAGCCAGATTACTTTATTCCCCCAGGCATCCCTCCACCTGTCCCTGGCACACAATGTGCTGAACGTTCCGGCCTCCCCAGCCACCAGTGACCAGTCTGGTCACTGAAAGTAGTTAGTTTCCCACCCCCGAGGACCTTTAAATCACACGTGGTCTTTTTCTAGAATATTCTCCTGCCTGCTCTTTGGGTAGCTGTCCCCTTGGCATCTTTAATATCAGCTGCCACCTCCTCAGGGTCTGGCTCTATCACACCCTACCATGTCCCAATTCCCAAGGTCTGGATGGATGGGTGTTGTCACATTTCCTATCAGAAATCTATGGCAGCAGGGGCTTCTCCCTCACGTCGTCCACGGGGAGTGAGCTGCAGACATTACACCCTCTGTGCCAACTGAATACAACCAGATCTTTTGCAAGACCTTCAGGAGTGGGGAAAAAATCTAAGCCTGAGCCAGAGGGGCTCCGTGGCCACACCCTGGTAAGGCATCCCTGCCGTAATGACCACAGTTCTCGGTCGAGTCCGTCTCTGAGAAGGATTGGGTCAATGAGCAGGGACCCAGCCTTGACATTCCCTCTCCGACTCTTCAGAGTTCCCAAGCTTCATTGTCAGAGCTGGAGACAGCCGATGCCAGGATGCAGGAGTCCCTCTGGACCCGCTGAGCCCATACACTGTGCTGGGTTGCTACTCCCAGTGGGCATGGCCCCTGGGAGTCAACAGTGAGTGGAAACTTCAGAAAGGGAAAAATTAATGGGCATGTTTTGCCCAGAGAAAGAAGAAAACAAAAAGCTTATCATGAAGAACGAGGCAGGCATGCATTAGTGCCTTAAAGGGGCTCTGCGGCACGTGAGCAGCCTGCTGGTGGCAGGGCACTAGAAAGCCTTGGGGTGGGGGCTGAGGCTCTTTCCTCCTCAGCATTCTAATCCTCTCAGGAAGCAGAGTCAGGCCGGAAGAGCCTAGGAAGGCAATGAAGTCCATATTCAGGGCTGAAGAGCTGGCTCAGTAGCTAAGAGCATCTGTCACTCTTGCTGAGGACACAGGTTTGATTCCCAGCACCCAAGCAGCAGTTCAGAACCATGCGTAGCTCCAGTCTCAGGGCATCTGACACCCTGTCTGACTTCAGAGGACACTAGGCACACACACGATGCAAGTATACACTCAAACACATAAAATAATAATAACAATCTTTTTTCTAATAAAAAAAAAAGTCAAGATGTTAGCATCAGACCCAAAGGAGACATTGGGGCAGCGGACTCTCCACACAGGCTTTCTCAGGCAATAGTCTCGACACCCCCGATGCTACTGCGGGACAGGACAGCAGCAACACACCTTGAAGACAGACAGACTGAGGCCAGAGCATGATCACATTAGACACCAGAAAGGAGGATCTCAGCCACTTTAGAGACCAAAGGCTACATCTGCATCTCATTTAAAAGTTCCTGGGCTACATTCGGGGTTTCGGCTGGTTCCCAAGGAACCACGGCCTGAAATGAAGTTAAGTTGCAGCCTTGGGGACCTTGTAAACCCCTAATGAATGGCAAGATGCTCAGCTCTCCCAGTGCTTCCTAACCTCGGAGTTTAGAGTCCAGAGTTACGCGCTGGGTGGCACACACCTTTAATCACAGTACTTGAGAGGCAAAAGGCAGGTGGCTGTCTGAGTTCAAGGCCAGCCTGGTCTACAGAGTGAGTTCCAGGACAGGAAACCTTGTCACAAACAAACAAACAAACAAGTTATAGAGCCAGACCACGGAGAGAAGGGAAGGACCCTCCTGCCAGGTGCCCATGGAGGGGAGCATAGGTGGAGAAGCCAGAGATGCTGACAGTCCTTTGGCACATGTAGGACGAGAGGCCCCCGGTCTTGCCCTCCCCAGACAGTCAGTCTTGATCCCCTCCTCCCCAGGCTCCTTTCTAAGGCCATGCCCATCAATGGTGTGAACGCCTCTTCTCTGGGCTGGTTTTTGGTTTGGGGGTGTGCGTGTTATTTTGTTTTGCTTTTTTTTTTTTTTTAAGAATACTGCTAATGACCAATATGCCACCAAGAACTGCTGTGTCTGATACCGATATCCGCAGTCAGATAGGACAGTACAGCTATAGGCACTTTGTGGCTGGCTAAGTGATTTGCCATAGATGAGGGGATGTTTTCATGCCTGGATCAAAGGCACCCATACCTTATCCACTAAAAAACATCCAGCCTGGGCTGGAGATAGCCCTGACAGGTCATTCCCAGGCCAGCTCCTTCCACAAACTCAGAGCAGAGCAGCCTGTGAGACTTTCTGTGTGCACACCAGCTGGCGTGCACAGAACAGCCACACCCTGCTGTCCCCAAGCGAAATTCAGAGTGACCTAACACTTTGATCTTGGAGTAGCATCAGATGGGGTATTTGCCCACTGCTGTACCCTTCAAGGTCATATCCCTAAGATCACTGGAAGTGCTCTTTAAGGTCAGTTGTACCAACCTCTTTATTTCATGGGTGAAGAAGCCAAGACCCGGAGGTGTGCAAGAAATAAGTTTGATGGCAAAGCCAAGGCTGACATGCAGGTGTCCTGCTCTCGGCTCCATGTGACTTTTCCCCCCTATCTATGGTATATGAGCTCCTGGGGCACAGTCCAGTGACAGAGGTGTCTAAGGACCCAAAGCGGCAACCCTCCAACTAGCCAGCCCACACTTCCCAGAGCATCTTGGGAACCAGGGAAGGTACCTTTGCGTTCCAAGAGGCCAGGGTCCGAAGTCATTCCAATGCACGCTGGGCAGCTTTGGGGTCCCCCAGGGAAGGAGGAGTGGGTGGCTGAGGCAGTCGGAGGGCAGGTGGGGTTGAGAGGGTCCGCCTTCTGTCAGCAAGGTCTGTGTGCCTGCCAAGAGGAGAGAGGGAAACGGATTAAGTTTCTGGGCTGGCAAGATGGTTTAGCTGATAAAGGCACTTGCCGCCAAATCTGATGACCTGTGATCAATTCCTGGGTCACACATGGTGGAAGGAGAGAACCGATTCTCACAAGTCATCCTCTGAGCTCCACACTTGCACCATGGCATATGTGCCCAAGTGTGCGTGCGTGTGTGCGTGCGTGTGTGTGTGTGTGTGTGTGTGTGTGTGTGTGTACACATACATACACACAAGGCAGTAAATAGAATTTTAAATATTTTAAAGGTGGTTAGATCACAGCTGGAACCCACCAAGCTACCATACACAGAGGACAATGGGAAAGTGCCAGCTCCCTGTGTGGTGACCAGCAGGAGCTTCTTGGACCTGCCTTGCCAATCAGCAGGTGGCATTGCCATGGTGCGTGCCACCTCGACTCTGCAGCCACTGTGCCCTTTGCACAATTATTAGCCAATTGCTATGAAGTGTCATACCTAATAAAAGAATCAAGCATGGGGAAACAATAGTAGGCCAATCGGGTGCCAGCCTGGGTAACAACGGAGGGATCACACCCAAGGCTTGGCACCTGGGGTCAAAGGTCAGCCTGAGAATGGCTCAACTCAACACTGGCAACAGATCAGACCCACACAACAGAAACAGCCAGTGCTGGGTTCCTAGCCCCCTGCTCTTTCCAGGTTTCCACTGGGCGAGCTCCTGGCTGTTCCTGGACCCCCTGTGCTGCCTTATGGGAGTCTAAAGACAGAATCGACAGGTGTCTCTCCAGCTACCCAGGAGGGTAAATTTGATTTCTTCTCCATTTCCCCCTCTGCTCTGCTATGGCTCTATTCCATCTCACAGACAGGAAAGAGGGTGTGAACACACCCTCAAAGGAGGCTGCTGGGAGAGCCTCCTTTGTGATAGGTGCCGGGCCAAAAACAGTGGCCTAAAGAAAGTTGGAGCCCTACTACCGGCAACCTTTGTGTCAATTTAAGCAAATATTGTGGCGTTTCCATGGTGACTCCTGTTTTGAATATCCACTTCGCTCACTTTTTTAAAGGGCTTTTCCTGTTTGCATTTCAACTTGAAACCTGTAAATATTTTCAGCCTTTTTAGGAAAAATAAAAAAGAAAGAGCCCAATGTGCGTGCAAATACAAGTACACAAACAAGCACCCAGCTCCTCAGGCATGGTAGTCAGGCCTTGAAGACATAAGGGTGTGGGGCATGGAACCCCGAGGGTGTTCTCATTATCCACTCTTCTAGCCATCCTGCATCTAGAACTGACACTGAAATCCGGGGCCTCCTGGCCTCCTTTTTTGGGGTTGGCAGCATCCCATACCTAGTGGCCCTGTGTTACCCAAGTGGCTCATTCTTTCCCATATGGTCTTGCATGGACCAGCAACAGCCTGGTTAGTTTTCTAACTTAACCCAGGCATCAAAGTCTCCCCACGGGGGGTGGGTGTCTCCCCAAGGCTTGTGGGCCCCTTCCTCTCTTGACTCCCAAGGCTGGGCTGAGCTGAACAGAGCCGGCTCTTTGAAGGCCAGCTTCAGCACCAGGTCCTTCTCTCCTGGGGTACTAATGTTTCAGGACCGGCTTCCCTAGGGAAAGCTGGGATGGAAGATGCCAGGGAGCAAGGGGCGGATTCGCCTGGCTCCCATCCCACCCTTCAGCACCACACAGGGTTAACAGAGTGTTTCCTGGTTTCCATGGATTCCCGCCAGGCCCCTAATGTGAGTTTCGTGTGATTTGGGGGAAGTGGATTTCCTTTGTTTTCCAGTTTGGGAATATTTTTTTTTCTTTAAAAAAGAGGAAAAAACACTTTAATGGGAATTTCAGGGCCACTGGGAGACTCACTCCTTTGGGTTCTGAAACTCTCTTGCTTATTGGTACAGAATTTCCTAAAGCCCAAAGGCAGCCTTTGGCCCTGGCTAAAAACATGGCTGTGGGCCAGAGGAAAGGATGCCTTGGACCATAGAGAGCTTGCACCACAGACCACCCTCCTGTGGGGATCTCTACCTAGTATCCTATAAAAATCCACCACTGGAGCTGACACACACCCCTTCCCGCTTCACACTGGGGCACTCACACTTGCCCAGACAAGAGGTCGAGAGAAGCATGTACCTCCCAGTCTCCTAGAAGGATCCAGAAGACAACAGTGCAACCATATGCTAGAGGTGCCCCAGAGTCTCCTGCTCTGGTCAAGAAGGGTTCCAGTTAGAAGGGAAGAGGTAACTCCAGACCCCAGAGGGCCATTGTCTCCTCCAGACCATGGGTGGGGGGTGGGGGCCTGACCAGGAGAGAAGGACTGAATAAAGGGTGTGACTAAGCCACCTCCTCCTCAATTTTCCCCATTCCTGCCATCCCTGCCCAGCCTTGCTGGGGTGGCATGACCTTGTTCCAAGGCTCCTCAACCAAGTGGCCTGACCCATTTACCAAACCAAGGCCCCAAAGCCTTTCAAGCACTGTGGCCCTCCCACGCCACACGCCCCAGGGCTGAGGCACAGGTCTCAGTCAGTATGTGCAGAGCCTAAAGGTTCTCTAACCAGCTGGCCCAAACGAAGAGGTGAGAAGCCAAAGACAGTGACAGACATAACCCTGGGAGGGAGATCCAAAACCAGCGGACTGAGGCCAAGGTCTGCCATTTAAGCCTAAGACGGCCCTCCCTGGAGCCAGCTAATCGCCTAAATGCTTGGGATCCTCACAAGACTGGAAGGGCAAGGAAGAAAATGACAGGCATCATCTTTCCTCCCACCCAACAGGCTCAAGTCAGCAAGGATGGCAAGCAGACTCCAGAGCTGCCCCAAATCATAACTACCCTCTTCTTTTAAGAACCTTCCAGAACCTCTCCCAAGAGGGCTCATATGCCATTCTGCTCCACTCTCCATGTATCCTTCCTCACGACACTAAATCCCATGCAGAACTGGAGTAATTTGTTCACAGGCCTGTCTCCACCATTGGATTCTTAACTCCTCAAGGGCAAAGCCCAGGTCTTAATTATCTCCGAGTCTCCGGCACTTAGCACAACAGCTGGCCCACGGTGGGCGGCGTAAGTGTTGGTGGAGCTGAACTAGTCCCTGATTTCATGTCACACTCAAGCTGAGCCCGATGTGGCTTCCCCCTCTCACCCAGCGGAATGGCTTCGTTGGCCACTTTCATACTCCAGTCTGCTCGGCTCCCCTGAGCCCCAACCTGCCTGTTGGTCTCTCCTCCACGAACCCATCGAATCCACCATGTGCAGGTTCCAAGGGACTTTTGCTTACTTGAGCCTTTTGCAACTGACCTCCCCCTAAAAGATTGAGCACCTGCTATGTGCCAGGTGAGAAGAGGGCACAGTGGGTGAGTGTTTTTTGCCCTCTGCCAGTCGGCTCACATGAGGATGGACAGTATTAGCTAACTAGATGAATTTGACAAGCCCCGTGCCAAGTGTTCTACACATGTTCACGATGAATCTTTATAGCACAAAGGCAGGAACAGTATGGGCCCCATGGATAGATTAGAGAGAGCAAGAACAGAGATATGAATTGACCAGCCAAAGGTCACATGGCTCACAGGTACGGAAGCTGGTGACCCCCCAAAAGTTCTCCCGAAACCCCTCCCTGTGTGATCACTGCTCACCCTTGCCCAGGGTTTGTGCCCTCTTGCCTCTCACCTCGCCCGGCCTGGAAACAGGTCTCCAGCAACACACCAGGACTGCCTGAAAGCATTTGGACCTTGCAGCCAAAGGCAATGTCTGTGCTCAGGTGTTCTGGCCAGGCTTAAAAGTGGGAGGAAGGGCAGACCTCTGAACGCACACCAGACAAGCAGGAGGGACACCCAAATCTACCTGGTGAACGGGCTTTCAGCTAGCGCCCTACCCGTGACTGTGTCTGGTGACAGCCAGGACCATGCTGTCTCAGGAGGTCCTGTGAGAATGGGACAGCTTCTGCTCCTCCCCAGATAGGGGTCCACTGATGTTTTTCCTCCACAGAGAGGCAGAAAATCCCCATGTTAGGACGTCCTACCATAATGAACACCTGCCTCTGAGGCGTGGGCTTGGGGAGCAGGGTTAGGGTACCCTTGGTTTTTATCTTAGGTGAGTGTGTGCACCACAGGGAGGGAGGCACCGGAGTCTCTTCAAAGGAGAGACTACGCGGAGATGGCAGGGAGAGATCCACACGAGCCAGGAGAGATGGTAGAGGATCCTGGGGTGGGGAGCGGACAGAGCGCTAATGAACAGATTTCACAAGCCACCCGGAGTGAAAACAAAAACACAGACGTGCGTATTGCCCAACTTCAGGGTTGTATGGAAAAGAAGAAAAAAAAAACACAATAAAAAAATCCACATCTTAAATACAAAAATCCTACATGATGTGTTGCGGCATGAAAGTGTTTTCCACTGCATTTTTCCTCTGTGATCTCACACAGCCTACGACGGGGACGCCCAGCAGGGTCGGGATTTGACGGTATACACTCAGAGCAAACACACACACAATTAACCAAAACAAGGGCAGTAAATATTCAAATCACGCCAAACTGGCATCTTGCGGCTTCGCGTGACCTCTGGAGCTGGCTGCATTGGCTCTGAGAGGGGGCCTTTTAGTTGTTAGGGGGTGAGATTAGATGAGACAAGGACACAGTTCAAATAAAAGGAACCAGAACTCCAAAAGCCTAGCTCCCACCCAGCCCATTCCGTGGCTCTTTCTACCTTTAAGGGGCTACCCTGCTGTGAAAAGGGGATGGGCCAGGGGCCCACACATCACACACCCCTTCCCTCCAAACCCTTCACGCTACTGTTACTGTGTGTCTCCTTTTTGTCTCGCCCTCCCCCCTTTTAATTGTTGGATGAATTTACAGAGCGCTGTGCCAAAAACAATCAACTCTAGGGAACAGAGTTATACAAAAAAGGGTGTGTCGCCAGAGGGAGACGGCTATCCATGGAAACCACCAGCTTTCACAGAAGCCTAGGTGAAGCCTGGGTGAGGTGGACCAGGTGGAGGTGTGGAGAAGTCTGCTCCTT